GCTTGCCTCATTATACAGTTTGATGATTTCCGTATTATATGCCATATATACTTCCAGCGTCTTTTCCCAATTTCATCTTCATATGGAACCTGGTTTGTTCTCTCACACAGTAAGCTGATGCTGATGACATCCAGTCAACGGATATTGAGCATCTTATGTAGACAACTGTTTATAAATAACTGTACCATTTTGCTGGTGATTGTGGTAGTTCTTCAAGTTTCATCTCCATATAGTAGAGCTAACTTGACGTTCGTATTGAAGACTCTCACTTTGATGTTGGCTTGCAGACAGTTGTTTTCAGTTCCATATGTCGTTCAACTATGGGAATGCTATCTTTGCTTTACCAATCATTGCCTTTACATCTTCATCAGATATTGCTTGTTGATCGATTATACTGATCAGATAGGTACGTGAACGTTTCCACCTCCTCCAGATTTTCTCCATCAGGTGTGATTTGTTTGATATTCTCTGTGTTGAATTTGAGGATCTTGCTTTCTCCATTGTGTATGTTGAGGCTTACTGATGCAGTGGCTGCTGCTACACCAGCTATACTCTCGTACATTTATTGCTGTGTGTGGGATAGAATATCTTGGTCATCTGTGAAGTCCAAATCGTCTAGCTGCATCCAAACTTTCCATTGTATTCCATGAATCCTCCGAGGTGTCGAGGTCTTCATAATGCAGTCAACCACCAGAAGAGAGACAAAGGGTGAGAGTAAGCAGCCTTGTATGACTCCACTCCTCATTTGGAATGAAACTGCGAAATAAACCCTATGCAACACTTTGCACTGTAGTCCGTCGTATGAATTCCGGATGATGCTGACGATCTTCTCAGGTATACCATAGTGTCGAAGAAGTTTCCATAAGGTTCTTCTATCTATGCCTTCAAATGCTTCTTCATGGTCAATGAATTTGATATATAGTGACGAGTGCCACTCAACTGATTGTTCAAAAATGATCCGTAGTGTCGCTGTTTGGTTTATGCCTGACCGATCCTCACGGAATCCAGCTCGTTGATCTCGAAGTTGGGCGTTTACTGAGTCTTTCATTCGGTTTACAAACACTCTGTTGAAATCTTTTCCTGGAACTAATAGAAGTGTGACGTTTTTATAATAATTTTACATTCGTTCAAATCTTTCATTAGTATCTTGATGAGATATCCTTCTTCCCAGTCTGTCAGTGGTACTTGTTCTTAAAACCAAATCTTCCTGAATAGAATGTGGAGCATGTTTGCAGTTACTTCTGTGTCTGACTCCAGTACCTCAGGTCGTATGTTGTCAGTCCCTGCTGCTTTCCCACTCTTGATTTGCCTAATGGCCATCCTGATTCCCTCGATCGTTGGTGGAGTGACATCTATTAGGAGATTTGTAGTTGCTGCTTTGATGTCCGGTGGTTATAGTTGTGATAGTCTATTCAAGAGTTCCTCAAAATGTTCTGCTTACCTGTTCTGCTGTTCATGAATCTCAGTGAGTGATTTGCCTTCTTTGTCCTCGAACGATTTCTCTGTCTTATTATATTTCCTTTCTAGTTTCTTCGTTGTGTCATATATTTGTTTCATTTTTCGTCCTCTTACAGCTTTTTCCACTGTCGTTGCTAGCTCTTCCACGCATTTCTGTTTGTCGGCTCTAACACTCTTCTTCACTTGCCTGTTTGCTTCTGTGTATTCAGCATGTTCGTTGACTTTCTCTGCTCTTGTTCCACTGTTGTTAATTGTCGTCTTTCTGCTCTTCTTTTTTTGAATCTTGTCCAGGGATTCATAGGGATCCATTCCGTATGATGATGCTTGCTGCGGCCCAGCACCTCCTGACACACGTTGAAGTTAATGCCTCCTCGATCCTTTTCCAGTTGTACTTCATAGTAGTTTTTCTTCTTTCAATAGATCCTGAAAGGCTCGGAACCTATTGTTGAGAGCTACCTTGAACTGATTCAGTTTTTGAATGCCTCGAACAAAGAATGTATTGAAAGTTTGTATTGCTGTTCATCCAGTTGTCCAGTGTTTCTTTAGCTTCAGTTTCACCTTGACCAAAACCAGGTGGTCAACTGAAGCTATGTCAACTTCTCTACCTTCTCGTTATCATATCTTCCACTGACCTTCGACATTTTTTATTGTTACAAATATGATCAATCTGGTTCTGTGTCAGGGGATCCGGTGAGTTCCATGTAGCCTTGTGTATGCATGAGTGAGGGGATATTGTGCCACCTACAACCATTCTGTTGAATACACATACATTTGCAAATCTCTCACTATTCTCGTTCCCATCCCCAGTCAATCCATGTCGTTACATGATATCTTCATACCACTTGTTGTCCATTTAGACTTTGATGATTAGATATCCCATCAGGATGGTCAGATCCCTTGCTGAGCACTTCTCCATGATCGATTGCTTCCTCTCGTAAAACTAGTATTTATCTTCGTCGTTGATATCACTGGTGGATGCATAACATTGGACAACATTCAATGTAACTCCTTACTTCTTCGTTTTGAAGAATGCTTTGATGATCCTGGATATGTGAGATTCCTATCGTATGAGTGCATCACGTGCATCTTTGGACAACATCAGATCAACTCTCTGAGTGCGTGGGGCATTTTCTTCTTCGTGACCAGAGTAGAGCAGCAACATTGTCCAAACGCTCCGTGTACTTAAATTAATTTTCACTCTGATTATTAGAAGGGGAATCAGTCTCGTGACTTCCGAATAATCTCAGCTTTCATCATGAGGCGCTATAATTCTTCCTTAAACTAGGAAGGTAAAGTTCAAGTTGTTTAACTTGTTTATTCTGGTTGCCGTTTATTTAGCAAGATTTTTTTCTGCGTGATGGAGGTTCTGACCCTACGCTCAACCTTCCTGCTTTACACGTGGTTGGGACTGGCAATTGCATTAGAGTTTTTACAGGCGTAGTTTAAATTCCTATGAAATAACTGAAATAACTCATTGGAATTGAATTATTTATTTTGTGAACATTTTGTACTACTAATGAGTAGTTAAAATAATGCAAACAAAATCTCTGAAACATAAAGCCTAGCTGCTTTAGTGGTATTTATGACCATTTTCGAGTTGTTAGATGTAAATCTAATTTTGAATTTTTTCACAATATTTTCTTTCATTTTCAGTTTTTACTGATGTTTTCTGAAGGCAGGCCTTATCAAGAATTGGGATTCGCTGAAAAATCCACTAGCAACCATGACCCACTAAAAATATGATTCTTTACAAATAGGAACATCTTAATAAATAACTAGATGCAAAGATGGGACAAATATTAAACATAAGTAGATTTCGAATAATAAATTATAGTAAAATTCAATATTAGGTGAAAAGACAAATTGTTTGAATCCCACTGCTATAGAACATCATACTAATTATATTATGTAAAATATAAGTTTTAATGTATCTCATGAAATAATAAAACGAGTAATTTAGATTGTCTTATGGTTTTCATAATTCAGATGATAGTTCATCCTCACTAATAAATAAGTCCGTGCCACAATTTTAGAACATCAATAACTCTTATCTTTTAAAATTACTGTCTCTAATGATCCTAAATCTTAAATGATCACCATTCCTTGAGATAACTGAAATGAGCATCATTCAATCAGTATTTAATTTAGAGATTCTCTGGACTTTTACTGAGCGTTACAAGCTGTGATTTTTGTACGCGTAGCAAGATCGATACAAAATATAGCAGCACAAACTACCATTATTCTCGTTGAGTAAGCCCCTACTTGAGTATGAACTAGATTTCTTCACTTTTCAACCAGATACGGGAATCTTTTCTGCGGTTTAGTTACTTTCCTTTTGATATGTTGTAAAGTTTGGTCAGATATACATGAAATACTACTTTTTGAGTTAATGTAGTAGATTCCTAAGACAAATCTTCTTTACATATATTGAGTTCGCTTTCACAAAGCATATTTGAGTAACCAAATGACAATATAGGAGACCACTGTTATCATTTTACTGAGCTATAGTCGAACTCGAATCCACCACTTTATCTGTGAAATAAAATAACTTATTACCGTAACTACATCAGTATATTTGGAATCCTGCTATTGTATCAATAGTTTACGATAAAAACTATTCCATAAGTACCCGGAAAGCAGTTAAGAGACGATTGAATACAGATGATGTGCCTTGGGACGATTACAAGTTCTTGTAAAACCGTTCAGTGGGACTGAAATTTCCTTAAGGAATGTAATTGATGTCCTAAGACGTAATAATATCAGTGTCCTTTCCAAGTTTTGAAAAGTTGGTAAACTATCAGACACTTGTCGACATGATTCGTCACATTTACCAAGAAATTCAAATAATAACTAATATAAAATATTTTATAGATGACCTATAAACACAAGTACATCCACAACCACAATCGTTAAACTAACAAAGCCTGTTGATTTATTTGATTTTTTTCAAGCATTGAAAATTTCACAATATCCCCAAGTGTACGAATTTTCGGAATTCACGATCATCAGATTTAAATTATTAACATCTTCACAAATTAACTAAATGTGAGGAAATAGGACCTTTGGTAGTGTTAAGTAACTGGGATTTCATTGTCACTTTATGAAAGGCACTTTAATAGTTCTTAAAGAACAAAAATGAAGTGCAGAATATATTGAGGAGAAAATATGTTTTTGTGATTCAAAAAGATGGTTTTATGGAGACTATAGGTAACTTGAAATTAACTTTTATTAGGAACTGAAGTTATTCGGAGAACTGTCTGCAAAACCAGGGGATACTGAACACAAGACTTGGGCCTTTAGATGACTCCCAAGGAGTGTGTTGTCAAGACCATAGAGTAATAAACTAATGAATAACGCGTCTGATGAAGAACGAGACAGCTGTGGACTACTGAGTCATGATCCGATCATTCAACATTTTAACTTAAACCAAGTACTCATACATTGTCACCTTTGTTATTGTAGTTCTTCTGTCTTGGCTGACTTTATACATAATGACGTCTAACCAAAAAGTCTATTTTGAACATAACTGTCTTATACGCCACTGAAGCTGTAATATATGAAATTAATTTGTGAAAGAAACCGTGTGACAAAAGTGAATTTTTTAAGCCATTTACTTCTAATCTCATTGTTCAGTAAAATTCTAAAATTAACTCATGCTCAAGCGTCATAATAGGTAAGAATCGAACATACATCAAAATCCCAATACATAATAAGACAAATTAATAATGATAGAATACCGACAAATCGGGCTTAAATACAACTACCAACTTTCAGTAATAAAATGTGTCATCATGATAAAAAATGAAGTTGATTGACAACAAAATCAAACTAACTCATTTATATTCACTAATGACTGTTTTTTTTGAAAAACAAATAGTACAAGGAAGTAATAAAAAAAAGAACATAGGATGAAAATGCATAATCATTTGTTTTTCAATTACAATTCAAGATACAAATCGCCTATTGAATGGTATACACAATAAGATAAAATGCAAATAACTACTTAATGAATTACTTAAACAATGATATGGTATTTATGTTTATATGTATGTGTATATGTATCATTTAGACATGTTATTCATTAATGACAAGGAATTTACAAATCTTATAAGCTCAAATTGAATGATTTGAGTGAAAACGAGATGAATTCATGAGTGAAATTTCATCAATCTAATCTTTTCTTAAATGAAGAATATTTGAGCGAACAATTGTTTTCAATAACTTTATCATCAGGCTCTACAGTTATAAGTCCATAATAATGATATCTTACAAAGGCCAAAATAAGGCATGTAATAATGAATTTGACAATGTTCACCTTGGTCTACAATTTGATCACCGGATACCTAAACTGAATATTATAAACATCTTACCCCCTTTCTTTTTTGATTACCTCTACATCTTCACATCCATTATTCCCAATTTGTTTAACGTAATTACCTTGATAACACCCCCCTTATTATATATCATATTTACACAACAATATTATTATTGTCTCAATTGACAAGATGAAAGTCTCCTACTGTGCATTTTTATTTTTGCTATAATAGTATTCTACTTATTGTGACTGGACACTTTACTCAAAATCATTCTGACCTTTATTGAACGACCTTTCTAATTTGCAACTAACACAATCGTGATGTATATATATCGTAACAGATGCAAATATTCACCATTTTTTTAAACACATAACATTGTCAAATTCATTAATACATGCCTTATTTTGGCCTTTGTAAAATACCATTATTATGGACTTATAACTGTAGAACCTGATGATGAAGTCATTGAAAACAATTGTTCACTCAAATATTCTTCATCTATGAATATTCTATGGGGATCTTTTCGAATAAATACATTATATAAATATTAATAGATTATTCATTTATTAATTCATGAATTGTTTTAATTGAATTTTGAACTGATTTCAATGCACCATTTAAACGTTGTAATAATGGACCAGGTATAGGAATAATTTTATTACATAATATAATTTCATATTCATTTGTAAGAAATTTTGCAATTTCTTTAGTAAGTATTATTAAACTTTTTAATGATTCACAAAGTTTATCAGTCATATATTCTAATTTTTCAAATAAATTTATTAATACTACTGTATTTGTATCATGATTATCATTGATATTATATATGGATGATAATGTAAATGATGATGATGATGATAATGATTTAAATTCATTACAAATAGACATTATATAACGTATTAATTGATTACATGATTCCATTATTAATTTAGTTTGTTCTATTATAGAGTGTATAAAAATATTATTATTTTTTAAATTTTTAAAATATAATATAGTATCATTTTGAAATTGTATTAAATAATTTAAATAATTATCAATAATATATAATGAATTTAAACAAAATTGTGATAATTTTTGAAAATTTAAATTTCTCAAAAAATTTTTATGATTGATATTATTTAAATGATTAATAAATTCTAATGATTTTGATAAATATTTTTGTTTATCATTTGTTAATTTTAATGATAAATCCAAAATTGGTGTATTAAATGAAGGAATTGATTTACATAATTTATTAAATATATTTGTTTGTTGTTTTATTAAAGAAAAATGTTTTTGATTTAATTTTGAGGATTTATTGATTGAATTATTAAATAATATATTAGAATTTACTAAAATTGTTGTATAAAATAAATTAATTTCAGTAATTAATTGTTGGATTGTTTGTTCAAGTAAAGTTTTACTCTCATCAATATTATTATGATTATTACTATCATTACTACTATTATTATTATTAGTTAAATGGGTGGTATCATTAGATTGTTTATTATATTTTTGATATTGATTATTTAAATATATAATATTAATACGTTTTGATAATTTAATAAATAATTCAGCTAAATTTTCCATATTATGACGAGATATAATAAATTTCTGTGTTAAATTATTATTATTGTTATTATTTAATGTTGTTTGTTTAGAAAGACCAATCATAACTGTACATAATTGACTAATAATTATAAATTCATTATTTAATTGTGTAAATAATGAGGTTATTAAATGTGTTGAATGCATTTGATCATGTTTATTTAATACTTTTATTAAATTTAAACATTTATCATGTATACGTTGTTGTATCGGTAACCAATATTCTGTAAATTCTTCAATTGTTCTAAAAATATTTGGTGTTAATTCTAATAATGATTTAAATTGTTTTTCATTATTAATTTCTGTAGATGAATAAAGACTATTTTCTGAAAATTTTTTATGATTTAAATTATCTACTGAATTTATTATATTATTAGTAGATTTATTTTGTGTATTTAAAGAAAATAATATTTCATTGTTTAATTGTTTAGAGGAATTAGTAGTATAATGTAAATTATTTACTGTTGTTTCATTTTTATAAGGATTTGTATTCGTTGATTCGAATTTGATTGAATTATTTGTATCACGAAATTCTTCTGGTATACTTGGTGGTAAATCCTAAAATTTAAATATAAACATTAGAAACAAATATATTTAGAAATGATGAACAAAATATAAAAATACTGAATAGCATTGCAATATGCCATAAATAAATGGAATCCGCAAGGCCAAAGGAAAAGAGGAGGATAAAAGAATACATTACGCCGAGAAATGGAGAAAGACACGAAAAAAATGAACAACAATTAGATAGAACTGGAAAGGAAGGCGATGGATAGAGTGGGTTAGAGAATGCTGGTCAACGGCTTATGCTCCGTTGGGAGAACAGGCGTAAGTAAGTAAGTAAGACTGATCATATATGTTATCATTAGCTAAGAATAACATTCACTGTTATGATAAAAAAACAAGTAACGCTAAATAATCTCGTTGGTTCACACCTCAAAAGACCATATCAAATTAAATTAAGCAAAGATGTTAGACGCTAGTAACTGTCAAAAAGTGAAATATTTGAATTAGGTTAATTGAACCCGTCCAATGTGTTACCGAAACAACTCACCATAATATGAAATGATACAGTCGATGTTTGCAACACCAATACTCTTTAACTAGTTCCATCAGAAAGTAACTGTAAATATTTAAAAGTTTACATACATCAACTTGATTAATAGTTACAAGGTTACAAACCATATAAACTAAGTATCCTTCCTAAATTAATCTCAAAAAAGACAGAATACTACATAACTGTTCTTTTATAAAGCTCAACTACCATTAATTTTATGATGAATATTTTCATTGAATTAAGTTTATTGAAAAGAAAAACGTGTTTTAAATGAAAACAGGATATTTAGTAAATATCATAGGATATTTTAATATTCAGGAAACTGTTCAATTATAGTAAACATTATTTAATCATATAGAAACAAACAAATTATAGGATAAAATAATATTTATAATATTAGGTAAACAATTTCGCTTGCATGAATCAGTTACATGTTTATTTGTTTGTTTATCTTTTGACTGGTCTAATGAATACAAAAGTTGACTAGTTTGACAGTGCTAATCAAATACATATATATATATATATATATATATATATATATATATATAAACACAATCATTTGGAATGAATGTTATTTTAATCAAACCATGCAATTTCAATCATTTACCATTTACAATTAATTGTCATAATTCAATTCATTTTGAAAATGATCTACCAAAAATTAAATTAAATATACATGTCATAGTTCACGATTAGAAATCACTAAATAAAGTCCTAGTAACAATCGCTTGCATTAAATGAAAAAAAAAACAAATAAAACAATTGACAGGTAAGCATTTTTTTATTAGCACAATGAAAGTTAATTTCAGTTAACTGGTTTATGTATAACAAGTATTTTTATGTTATACAAAATGCGTAGGATAATGTAAAAGCTTAAAAAAGTAATCAGTTAGAATATGATAGTGAACATTTGTTGTTTAAATGAATGATTATTCGAGTAGATTATTTTTTTTGTAGACTTATATCTTAGTTTGAAGTCTTTGTGTTAGTCCACATTTCGTCATCAGTAAAACTCCATAGTAAAGAAAGAAAATTTAATTTGCTATAAGTGTTTTTCTAACTGATAAGGTTACTTATATCCTATAATTCAACCAAGATATGAAACTGAGAGTGATTACTCAAGTATTGAAGGGCCAAATTATCTTACTTTTTCCCTCAATCTTTACTTCTGGTGATGTATAATTTTAAAAAACAGCCTAACACAAACAAAATTTGCTTTAATAAATTTACAGTTTTCTATGTTGATGTATATGATAGCTTATGGTACCTCAGATCCCTATTGGTATATGAAACAAATTTCATCTATATTTATACATGGCCTTATTTAGTGTAAGCTACTGATTAATGCCTAATATGTGAATAAGATGTGAGGGATGTTTACACTACTGGTCATGTGAGCAGTAAAAACATAATATCATTAATATATTTCATTCTTAGCATTTCGCAACTAAATATTTATGCTACTGGTGTTTCATTGACGATTAACGTCGAAATATGTACAGACATTGTATTCTAACTTTAGTGACAACAGCGCACTCGACTATATTCATCAGATATGGTTAAATAGTGGTGTGCATGATAACATCAAACTAAGCACAGAATAGGAGATCAGTTAGTTTTAATAAGAAAACCAACAGCTAGAGATAAAAAAAAACCCAGTGACAACTAATTTTACCTGTTATAATCAATAGATTTGTAAGTTACCAAAGTATGGAAGCGGACAAATCTGTATGTTCATCAAATGAACAACATATAATAAGTTTTTATCATCTTACAAGATATAAATTCATCAGTGGTCTATTTTTATACCTGACCTATGATTTGAATCTATATTTATGGAGTTGACTATCTGGACCCACGTAAAATGACTGTTTGATGACTACTCACAATATCTAGTATAGTGAACCTATGGAGCTCAAGTAAACAGATAGCAAATAACTTGGCAAAATTTTGTTTATGCCTGGTAAAATAATACACGTGAAATACATGACAAAACAAATTGTAATAAATAAATTGTTATTCACACATTGTGTAGCGTGTAGTGGCACTTAGGAATCATTTAGCGCTTTTGAAATCAATCAATTTTTTGTCTACTATGACAAATATTTCCCCTGACAACTTCGATCTTTCACTACGTGTTAAACACATTGATTTTCTTAGTAATTGTGAGCATATTTTAATGTTAACTTTGCTTTTTGTATAGATTGTTATCAGTTAAAAGACAACAATTCAATAAATTTGGAGCGGTGAACAAACTGATCAATAAATATCAGACTTATTTAGATGGAATTTCAAGGACGTTAGTTTAAGCCAATTTTTATTTTACGCAATTGTATAATTTCAATTAACCAGAATTTCTGAGTGAACATCTGTAACAACGCGTTTATATGAGCATACATTGCTAAACGAACAACACAGATAATTCTGGACATCAGTACAATTAACAATTACTTCAATGGAAAAATAAATTACAAAACTATTTTCTTCAACGGTCATTTACAGTTTAATTTTCTTGCATTTACAATTTAATTAATCACAGAATAAAAGGAATAATCAGTATAAACATTTTAAAAGATAAATCTTTTATGAAAAACTAAAAGTATTAAGTTTTCTTTAAACTAAATGAATTTTGTTCGTATTTCGGGTTAATAAAATAAGATGTTTTCTGAGAAGGTTGAACATTTTCGAATGCATCTTAAGACAAAAGTAAATAATTATGTAATAAAACAAAACACATAACCCATATTTGCTTGTTTTTATTATTTTACGTTTTAAATGGTTTCAGTTGTTTTGGGAGAAAAAAAACGCAACTTTTCTTTCTAATTACTCATACTTGCTTAGACCACCAGTTTAACTAGTTGAATAGATGTAATGGTCTAGTGTATATTACTGATGTCGACAGACATAAGTAGTATGTATCATAAATCGAAAGTGAAGGTTAAGAAGATCAAAGAAAAGAGGACGAGAACAAAGAATGATTGGCGTGTAAACAAAAGAACAATGAAGTCCTAGACGATTGATTGACATTTCTCAACTGAAGAATTTACTGTATGGTTTTCAGATTGTACTAAGGGATTCTGTAATTTTGTATTCAAATACATTCGATTGTCCCCACTTGTGTTCTAGTTCACTACAATGGTAGTAATTTATTAAATAACTGATTTGATTGGAATAATTAACTTGATTTATTTTTTGTCTGAGTATTAATTCAATAATGAAGAGTTCATGAATAAATTATATTGTAATTGAAATCCTTTAATGTGTATGCTAACAACTCAGATTCATTAGGCATAAGTCGATCTCAGGAGAAATTTTAAAATAAACTGAACTTTAGTAGCTAAGATGTGTAATGTATTTGACATTGAATATATGAATACAATGGACCGGAATAACTTAATGTAGATTTCGTTGCAAGTGGATAATTCAGCTTTTACTACCGTTGACTTATGATTTAAAGGTGGATTCACGTACTTTCATATCGGTACGTTGGTTACTATGTTTAACCTTCATTCAAGTTCACCACACAAACTAAAACATGTAGAAGTCTTACTGGTTTTTTGATTGGACATCGAAGCCAAGGCACAATGTGAAAAATAAATCATTTATATGGGGGTTTTGTGAAGACTGTAGGACTTTCAGTTTTAAATCACGATCTGATCTTAACTAAACCATCACTGAAAACGTTGAAGCACTGACTGGGGATACATTTTTGTGTCCTATTACGGGACTCCTCAGAAATATGCATCCATAACTCCACGTGCGGGAATCAAACCAAACGCGAACGCTTAACCTTTAAACCAATGAGCCGGCATTCAACAGCCGTTCAGTGATTCTAGGTTTTCAATGATAGTTGAAGTAAGATCAGTTCATGACTTCAAGGTTAAAAAAATTGAAACTTGGGAGTAGACAAAATTTAATTGCATAAGGGTTAAAAAAGAGAAGTACAAAGTTGCGACTGATGCCTTCAGACATTTCATCTGACAAGCTTTGTATTTAGAAAAGAAAAAAATGTAAAAATAGTATGAAGCCAGTATGTAAAATACACTTGACAAACACTATGGACTTGTTGAATTTTTATTTTCTCGCAAATATCGAGTCTTTTCATAACTGTTAACCAATTTCGCTTGTCATATCCAAATTATGGAAATGCAAATACAACTAATAATGCTACAATAGGACAGAAATTAATCCCAGGATTCCACTACTAGCCATATTTTAGATGTACCAAAACTCGTAATATGACACTATATCAATGTAATCTGTCCAGGATGTACTTATTGTAACAGAGACTGGTCAATCGCATTTCTGAATATTAATAACAAAAACTAAAAAACTTTACTAATAACTTCATACCCGTTGAACAAATTAGTAGCTACCTGAACTCAGCGGCTCAGTGGCTAACGCGTTAGGTATTCGGGGAGAAAGGTTTTACGTTCGAGTGTTGGTGTGAATATCAACACAGATTCAGGAACTTCCAGTTGATGAGTCCCAGATGGAATGAAATTGGTATTCTAGATTCCACGCTTAATCAAATACCAAATATACTAAATGGCTACAATGATTGGTAATATATGGTTTTTTCCCAGAATTCAAATTAATGTTGTTTTATGTTAGTAAAATATTTATTATTCAGAGAACGAAACAATATCTACTTTTATTTACAAATAGAATTATTGATTTAACCTACTTCATAATCTTCATATGAATTTTCTCGATTCATTCTCTGATCAACTATTCCATCATTTATTGAATGTGTACTGAATGAAACATCACTTGACTGATTAGAGAAATTTCCACTATCTGTCAAACCAACAGAACTAGAATACTTTGTATAGTAATCTACATTTTCATATAATGAGCATGAGTTGTGATTCATGGAAAGATGATTTTCTTCAAGTGGATTAAATTGTGTAGACTTTTTTGTGCATACAATGCTATTTTTACTATTGTTTGGATTATTGTCGTCGTTGTTGTTGTCATTCGGTATGCACCATCCTGTCGGATCATCGTAGACATCAGAATTATTTTGTTCTTTATTATTCTAAATGAAAGGACAAAGAAATCGCAAATGAATGAATAAATGCAAAGTACCTTATATTCAATAAATTAATCAATAATTTAAAGTAATGATTCAATAAGTATCAGAATGGGGGTTTGTGGAGTTAATAGTAGTTTCTAATAATTGAATTTATGAGTCTATCTAAGCTATACCACCTTTGAAAACCTGGAAGCGCTGGATTATCGTTCCGTCCCGGTATGGGACTCCTTAGCAGTGCGTATCCACCATCCCACATGTTGGATTCAAGCCCGGGAGCTTTAGATGCCGGCTCAGTGGTCTAGAATTTAAGCGTTCGCGCGCTAGACCGAAGGTTCTGAGTTCGAGTTCCACATGCGGAATCGTAAATATGCACTGCTGAGGAATTCTATAATAGGACGAGATGGTCGTCCAGTGCTTCCAGGTTTTCGAAGGTGGTCTAGATTAGATCGACTCATGAATCTAACTATTTAAAATTTAATTTGAAGTCTTTTTCTATCACAAACATCAAATGAATATTTCTTTACAAATAAAACAGTTGGTAATGTCATTTCTTTAGAGCTTTGAAACATTTGGAAATCAACCCTAATTTCAATGCTTAGTAGTTAAATGTGATTGTTCGTCACCATTAATGACAATGACGATAATTAATCTGGAAGTATTTAGTAATGATTATTGAAAATACGTTCTAAACCACAACATAAGAGTTGTCTTACCATCACACATTTTTATCTTAAAACTATCTGATAAAATCTTGTTGAGTTATACAGTATGGTAGTCATATTAAATTCATTCTAAAGGTAATGTAGTTTTCACATAGTGGATTAAGAATAAGATTTCTGGTACATGTAGAGATAGTTCATTAGAAATAGTTGTAACATCGATAGGAAGAGTAACAAGAAAAATGTCCTTAGTGTTATTATTGTTATGTAGATTGAAGCTAATTATGCTAAATAAATCAGAAATGAAAGAATACACTTTATGACAAAGAATTTGGGAATCTTTTTCATTTTTATCAAGTAGAAGAAAGAAACTAGACAATATCTACAGGTTTTCCACGGTGGTCTAGTTTCAATTGACTCGTGAATTCAACTACTGAATGAATACCACTTGAAAAGAACTGGAAAAGAAAGTCCAGGACAGAATTGATTGGAGAACCGTAATTTACTTGGGCTAAAATGCATAAGTAAGTAAGTATGTAAGTAGGTAAGAGAAAGAAATTGACAAATCAGTATATTTCATTTTCTTTTAACTGGATCAATAATATTAACCAAACAAACTAATTAGTATGTACATTTTATTCATCTAACTAAGGTCAAATTGAACAATTTATAACATATGTATTTTCTTTTAAGTAGTTAATGCTATTTATTATGATTATTTATGAATTGTTCAGATAATTGTTTGTTTTTTACAATTCTAAAATAAATAATACTTATTTGTAACAATAATTTTTTTTGAGTTTCCTTTTTACATAAAATAATAATTCAACCACTCAATATTCCTGAACTAGACTATTGATCGAACTGTATCAAAAGATGCAGTTATATTCAAATAACTACCAATAACCAATAATATAGTGTACTGGGGCGTTGTCATGGTAACTAATGTGTCCAGACAACGTTTTAAAAAAAGGCAAACACGATCAAATAATTTCAACAGAAGTGAAAGTAATACTAACCTTACTAATGTATGTTATCATTAATCTAAATAACTGACTAGTTAAAGATATTAAAAAAATGAGAAATAGACAAGAATATAATGAATTATTAGTAGATTATCACGATCACATGAATTTTATTATTATTTAAAAAAAAATTAAAAAATATAAGAATAAATATAATTTTCACTGAACAATTTAGGTAATATTAAGAGAAACGCTTTATTCCTCCCCCCATTTTGAATGATGACAAGCGTAAATAATCAAGATTATACATTTTTTTAAATTTATTTCTTTTTCTACAAGTTTACAAATTTTTTTCACAATTTCATTGAACATTTAATGAAACCGGAAAACTTTGTGTTTTAATTCCATAACTGTTTTTGGTTAATTATTCGGTTTTGTAATACATAATCATTTACAAATAAATAAAAATTCATTTATGGTTCATTGATGCGCTACAAGTTTTTTGTTTTTTTTCCTTCTGACAAATATTAAAGTGATAAAGTATAAATCAACAGTAAAAACTATATAAATAAATATTATAAAAAAAAATATTAGAGTTAAAACTTAAGTAATATTAATTTTTTCTAGCTTTATTAGTATGTATATCAGTAGTTTTTGTTTCTACTCTTCACATAAAATAGAATTTTCTATTTACGTAATTACAATCTAGTTGTTCTATACAAAATGGTAGGTTCAATAAGTAGTTGTAAATAACCAGTGTTGAATTAAAATAAGAATTTAGTAATATTTGTTAGATATATTATGGTGTGGTTTACTTATGTCCACATGAGCAGTATATAACGATGGTTAGGTATAGAAGATCGATAAGAAAAGAACGGGATCAGAACGCAATTCGTATGAAAATGTATGAACAATGAAATCTGTGACAATGGACTGATATTCGCAAAGGAACAGTCAAGTTTGAAACGATGGATTGATATTTTACAAATTAACTATATACTATATGGTTCTCAGATTTTAGTGAGATGCTCTGTAATTTCATGTCAATTACATTCCGTCGTCCCCACTCATGTTCTTGTTCACTACAATATCTCTCAATAGAATATTGACAACATATTTAACTAAACCAGCTTTGGTTTGTAATCGATCGCAATGTAGAATAGAGTTAGTTATTTCAATAGAATATTCAAGATATTTTTTGGTGTAATAGTTTCTATTTTTGATATTTTTTCTACTCAGACTGAAGTATAATCCGTCAGCATGATAAAAAATATTTAGGGATATCACAAGACTGAAGCTGATTGGAATTATGATATACTAATGAAGTGCATTAGAATTTTCGGCGAAACTATAATTTATGGACTACCTTTGAACGAATTTTTAGTGACCTTGCGAAATATTTGCCAATCAGAAAACAGTATAGAGTAAAAATATATTTTACAAAACCAAAGAATTAAAGTGGATACACTTCTTCTACATAGTTCAAAAACTTCTCAAGGTTAGAAAGGGTTTCAGAGGTTCTAAAATCGTAATGAATATAGTAGAAGAAATCATTCATATGGCTCCATAATAGTCAGTTTCTGGAACCATGATAAATTCGCAAAAACTCTTTCAGCCTCGACCATATAGCTTTTTTATTTCTTGTGTGCACTCCGGTTGTTGGGTCCATAAAATGCCACTCGTGTATAACGACACGATGCATATCAATAAGTCCATGTAGCCATCTATACGTTCTTCAATCATCTGTATATATTGTAGTACTCGGTAGCAGCCAGTGTTATTGGTGCTTTTATTATCCAGTTCTCAAAAACTGTCATAATCTGCCTTAGTCCCAATATGGATCGAGTGAAATATCCTATTCTAGCAGACATCTTCTTCCAACACATATTACATCAAAAGACAACATCACACAAGGTCCACAAGTCATTTGATTACCACAATCACAAATAAAGGAACTTGTTAGTAGTCCCATTTATTGTAGTCGCTTAATTATCACCTTTTTTTCTAAAATCCACTGTGAACCAATTGTATGTGAGTATTAGGTACTGAAATTCGCGCCATGACTTTGAAATCCCTGAAATGCTTCTGACTGGCTCGTCCATAAATTATAGTCTCGCCGAATTTTCTTCAACTAAAACATTTAAGAACATAAGCTCTGAAATGTTTTTTATAGCTTAGCTATTTTAAGCCTCTGTGATATATTTCCATCACTATCACGATCCTAATAGTATACACAAAAGGAAAATCAGTGTTGAATAGAAACCTTTTTTACCTTAAGCATAATAATATTTATGGCTCAAGCATACTCATATTAATGTATGTCCATCAAAGATGACTACAGTTTATACATTTGAATCCATTCAGAATTTAGTTAAAGAACGGAAATTACATTTTTACAATATTTGCAAAATACGATAAGTAAAGGAATTCATAGAATTAAAGGGATTGAAAATCCAAAGAACACCTCAACAAATGAAAAGAACAATTTTAAAACAATAGATAACATAGACAAGATATTAACTAAAAATATTACGCGATAGTCATTAAGGGTTTGATAACAAAATCGATCATCAAACCTGCTCTCAAATTACTGACATAAAAAATATCACATATTCTAATGAGAAAACAAAAAACAACTTCTGATATCACCAAACAGGGCTATAAAGCTCCTTAAAACTTAAGAGAAGACAGAATCACTGTGAAAACTAAAGTCAGTAAAGGGAATATAACTGTAATTATAAACAAAATTCATTATGAGGAAAAGTCATTTGAACACTTAACCAATAGATTATATTTACTTACTGAAGAAAAGAAAAATTTTAACAAAATCAGTAAGGTGTAAGACTCAGCACAAACGGATTTCCTCAAGAATTGAAACCAAAAATAAAGACTTCCATATGGTTTAAAATAAAGCCTAAATTCTATATATCTTCAAGAATTTACGATCAACTAAACATACACAAGCTTTCAGTTGTGGATTTCCAAAATTCACTAACATATAATCTCTTCAGATACTTATTCTAAACAGTAAAACCTCTCTAGAAACATACAAAACATATGAGTAAATATTAATTTGATTTTTAGATCGAAAATAACAAACCATAAACTTCGGGAAAATGAATTATAGCAAACTATACTATTAAAATTCTTATTATCGAAAGTCTTGATATTATTTTTGGCTTGTTATAATTAGATATACCTTTTTCAGAAAGACATCCACTGAACACCAATAAGGTCACCAAGAGTTTAAAATTTAGTTTAAAGACTAATTACTTTATATTTAAAGGAAAATTGTATCGACAGACCAATAAAGTTTCAATGGGTTCACCTATGTCACCTATAGTTACAAATTTATTCATAAATGGATTTAAAGAAAATATCTTCATAAGCGTCCTTAAAGCAATAATATAGCTAAGATACATTGATGATTATATGATATCAACACATGATATGTGCTACTCATTTTCAGATAAACTAAACGATGAGTTACCCTATATAAAATTTACTTCAGAATCAGACAATAGTGAATTACCTTCTATCATTGTCTAATTAGGTGGCAAGAAACAGGATAATTTAATATGACTATTTAAAGGAAAATAACACATGCGAATAAATATTTTGATTTTAAATCCTCAAAACCCATTAATGTAGAAGTATCATTTCTCTCAAGCTTTATTAGGACATGAGTATTAAAATGATAGAGAAACTAACGAGTATAACCAAAATTCTTAAAATAAATAACTTTCCGAAAAATCTTGTCTAATAAATAGGAAACAATAATAAATGTAAATGAAAATTTACACCAACATCATGAACCACAAGAGTCGTTGTTCTATACAGATTACACATAACAGAGATCAAATGGGTACTCAATATATGCAACATCAGGGTATTATTTGGAACATCAGATACATTAAAATGGAATCCAGTTCACATGAAAGACAAAATACCGAAGGATTCGTAATTTGATTGCGCCAACAAAACAAAATTTTCAGGTCGTGACTCAATATACATCGAAAAAACTTCTCCGGAAATAAAGGTCAGCATAGATGAACATGATGGTGATTCTGTTCGACTAAAAAACGATCCAAAAGAACTTGGAAAATCTTAGACCATAAGTCTACACTCTATAATATTAAGCTACAAGATTGACTTCAATAACATTGAAATTGTTCAGAAACATTTTTAAAATCACAAAGAATGTTTCATAGCAGAACCGCTTCACATAAAGTGAAATTCAAATTATCTGCCAACCTTCCACAAACTAACATCCTCAACACAGATGAAAGTATACTTGAATATTTGATAGTTGAAAAGAGATTGAGAATTTTCGTTATATTTCAATATGACTAGCGACAAAGACATTAATGAAGACAAATGGCGATAGGTTCATAAAGTTAACTAAGCAATTAACTTTGTCCTAAGCATAAATGTGCACACAAAGAATACATTACAACTCCCATAATATAATCCTGGATCACACGAAACCCAATACAATTTAAGTGTTTGTATTTTTGAAGATTTAACAAACAGAACAAACAGAATTTTGCTCAATCATTGTAATAAAATAATATTTGGTTGAACTACAGTTTGGACACTATTATATTAACACCTTTCAGTGACTTAGCAATGTACTATTTAACCAAAACATAATAAACCTATGAACAATAAATCACATTTCCGACCATCTATTATGTTAAAAATCTTGACTGACACTGGTCACATTTAGCAAATTGAAAGAGTGAAAACAATCACTACATAATTCCTCGATGAAGGCCAATAGCAGTGGGAAAAAATGAGTTCATTGAGGTAGACGGGCATATATTTTCAGGCGACTAATTCATTACAAACTCTAAAGTTTTACTTCTACTCAAACAGGTACTGAGAAATATCTAGTGTTCCTTAGCAGTTTACTAGTCTTAAGATGAGAGAATCTGAATTCTAGTCCATTTGAATTCTAAGTGCATTTTATTGACTTGAGAAAATATGGGATATCAAAAGTCTTTTTTTATACATGCCTGTGTAATTGTGTCTTATATTGAATCCGGACCACCATGATAGCTGGTAGGGAGCACTAGGGTTAACAAATGTGAACTAGCGAAGAATTTATTTTTATTTACAGGAGATACCTAACCTTAAGGTCCTTGCCAATAATATGACCACAAATAATGATATAATAAAAAACCATTACTGCAATTGTTTTAATGACGGATGAAAACATTAAATCTGTCTCATATGGTATTAGGGAATCTGAAATAACTTAAAACAAATACATTTATACAGCACTTTGATTGTGTCACAGTTATGATTTTGTTTAACTAGTTCATCTGAAAGAGGAACCATGTGTGAAAATTTACAAATGAAAGAACATTGATACTCTGGTTTATAAACAAATGATTTGCAATAATAAAACTCAAAATGATAATGTATTTTCAAACTAATGAAATTATATAAATAAAAAGATACTTACATTTATAAGGCCTAATAGTTCGAGACGATTACCCGGTGCAATTCCTAATTGACCACGAATACTACATACCCACCAACCGTTTAAACCAGATGGATTTCTATCTAAAACTGTGATTATATCACCACGTGAAAAATTCAATTCTGTTGGATTTTCTGATAGATTATCATATATTGCACGAGCTAAAAATGTTTTCAATGGTTGGATTCCCACATTCTTTTGATAATTAGTCATAGTTTCGCCCAAAAATAAAATAATTCAATGAAACTGTATTACACGTGATATTCTAGCCAATGTTATATGTTTATCAAACAATAAATAGTAAACAGATTTTATTTCTTTGCTTCTAATATAAATGTTCTTCCTATTTCTTCTGTATACATAGACCGATAGACATAATCATAATTGGTTGTTAAATCGATACAATAAAGTTAGCCAATCAAACTATTTAACTTAATGTGTCTGGCTAAACATATTTTAGATGGAAAAGACTATGCTTTTTAGTAATCAACAATGTTGTAATTGCAGAAATAAATGAAATATGAGTAGAAAACTGTATTTGAGTGGTAGTAAATATCATTGTTTTATTTAAACAAATACGAAACATAGTTTGATAAAAATGTTAATACAATATCATTAATGTATTTCATTTTAGTTAATGGATTTTAATATTATTATTTGTCCATATAATTTGTCCTAAAAAGATATTTATTAAGTGTTTGAACTTGTCATAGCTGGTCTTTAAAGTTATGTAAATAGATTACTTGTTAGTTGCATTGGTCTTACATAATTGAGATTAAGAACTTATGGTTAATGGTGCTCTATACAGTTTTGTGAAGCGTAAACTCTGTTTTTGATAGTCAAATTGCATCATTGTATACTTCTCTAGATCCATTTGTTTGTAAGAGTAGATGATGTCGATAAGATGAAATCATTTGATGATTATAAAATCAATTAAATACATAGTAATATTTGTGAAAATATCAGTAAATGAAATTGAATAGCTCGAATGATTCACTTAAAAATCTGGTTTTAGCGGTCTCACAGAAATAATTAAAACCATGATTATTGAATGTAAATAAAGCCATCAATAATTCATCAGTAAACCGTTGTTAAGTCAGTATAGAATATATGGAATGTAGCTAGCAATGTGATCCATGACGCCCATTTTGTTCTACATGGCACTCGTCAGCTAGATGTATTTTGCACTCCATCAGTCACTTTCAGATATTGGATTCGCTTTCTAGTATGATTTTAAGTCATCAGATGTGAAATGTGTCCTAATCATGATATTCAATATTGTTTATATTATTCATATCATACTTCAGTGGTCATGAAGTCATAGATTATGATCAAAAACAAGTGGATCATTCTGATTATCATCGAATTGCATGTTGAAAGAAATAAGATAACCTTGTAAGAATACGCATTGACTGACAACTCTTAAACCGTCATCATTCAAAAGAAGTAGGAACTATACCCAATTATAATATTCAACAGTTAACTACACGTCGTTGTTGTTAACGTTAATCGTACATGATATAAAAATGGATGCTATAAATAACAACTTTTAAAAAGTTTCTCCGATAATCTGGACTTGTTCATACACCTGATGTTTTATATACCGGGTTATGTAGTGCCATTTTAGCGACGATTCATATAAGTCACTAAAGAATTTGTTTTAACACAAAGAACCAATGAAATTTTAATGGTGAATAGTGCTTAATTAAAATGTTTTAAAAGGTCATTTTCAACTAACTATAAAGAAATTAGATGTTGTCCACTCAATTTATTATGCCCAAACGATCTTCCGGAGAACGTAATATTTATGTAGAAGAAGGAGTAGTATACCAATATACAGATAAAAATTTCATAGGACTGGCTAACATTTATTTTTGAAGACTTAATAAACATTATATTGTAATCAAATAAATTATACGGATACTTCACGACACAGTTTATTTGAAAAAAGCTAACCTTACGTTTATATTTAATTATCATTCGTTATTGAAACATCGGAGTGCTTAGTATTAAAATCAAACTCTGTAAAGTAAACAATCAAGATTAGGTTTTGGAAAGTCGTTTCAAGCCCTTTAGTTAATTTACATGCAGTAGTATATCTCCAGTATCATAGCTTAGGTAGGTAACTATTTACCATATAATAGATTATAGCAACAGATTACTAACACTCATTCATTCCTATCTAATTCTGAATTCATTAAGGATTACGATATAATAAGTGAATCGCTTAATAAAGTCATTTAAAGTTAACATAGTAGCTGCCGACCAAATGGATTCACTATTTCCAAGTTTTTTGATGTGCTCTTTCGGGATAATTATGATATTTTACAAAAAAATGAGAATACCAACACAGGTCAGATAGATTTTTCATTTATAAAATTACAGATTAGTATATGAAATATCAATCAGTCAGTCATATACAAAGTAGAACCTGGAACATATATGCATCAGTTCAAATTTTCAAAATACATTAGTACGATGAGAGGAAATCATCAAGCCAAATCCAAAAGCATTAGAAGTAGTAGTAAAGTATATTGGTTATTAAAAGAGGATAAGAGTATATGAATTCAGGACTTTGGATCTAAGGGAAGACAAAAAGTCAGTACAGCTGTTCTAGTGGGATCGATTCTGAAAGATATCACCCAACGTCTAAAATTATTGGCTATGACAATCACGAGAACTAAAGCTAAGAAGTTTGTATTTACCTACATTTCTTAGTTCAATAGCTAATATACTCATGAACTGATGCTTTTTTATGATTAAGCAACCTCTAACTTCGTCCAGCCTACTCCCACACCGCAAGTCACAAGTGGTTGAACACTCGTAATCAGCATCTCAATCAACTCAGTAGGTGACGATTTATTACTTCATTATTCATTTACACTTTATTCGACGGCAGATTTTTAATTTCAAAACTCTATAATTTATATTGTTTAAACCTTAAAAGATAGATTGGATTATTTTTTTGATACGCTTCTACTTCATTCATACGATTTCACACAAAATCCTTCATTCCAAGAAACCTCCCATGAGTATCATTTCTGTTTCAATTGATTATTTTAATTAGGATGAAAAAAGTTCAGGAAAACTTATTACATTACAGACAAAATTAAAAAATTCCTTACAAATGACCTGGAATAATTGACTTTTATTGCATGACACGGTGCTTTTACAAAATTCATCAAGACAGTACTCTTGTTTTCGGTTTTAAGTATTTTATTATTTTATGGATTGTTGATTCTTTCCACGATACTACCTTCTAAGATAACGTATAACTCATTTTTTCTTGACGTTTAGAAACCTCTTATTTGATTTGGGCTAGAAAGTTTGGAGAACGGCTATATTGATTTGACGGATTCTAAATGTGAGGTAAAACAACTACTTTTCTGACTCTTCATTGTCGACTACTTTGGAAAAACGTGAATGATAATAAGTACTTTTAGTCAATAGTCTTCAAAGTCTATATGAATTTTTGGTAACATCGGCTCATTATAAAACATGACAGGTAAAATGTTTAAGTCTATAGCAAATAATATGGAAAACTGTAAATCACTGAAATGTTGTGTACATAATTTATTCTATTCAAAAAAACATATTGCATCGTAGAACAAGACATGAATTATTTTTGTACACATTTCTATTGAATGAAACATGTTTAATGAAATGTACTTCACTGTTACATCCTTCACTAGTAAGTTAATGTAATGAACATTGTTTAGTCGTCGTAACAGTCCTTCCTCAGACAATAAAAAAGTATCAATGATTAGACTGAAATATAGATTCACTTTTGAATAATCAACTTTAGAAGTTAACTTAAAGCAGTCAAAATTGGGCTAAAGAGTGAGACCATTGATATTTGGGTGATCAAATTTGCGTCTATGATGAACCTTAAAAATAAATTCCTGATGCATTCTATTCACATTTGAATTTCATGTAAATAAAAATCGTCTTCTAGTTACTTTCCTAAGGTGAAATATCTAATCAAATTTATTTTGTACCGAAGAGGCGTAAAACGTTCGAGACGCGTACACTGACTAGTCCGTGTATTCATTCTGAATAAGTTCCTTATTTGGAACTGTACAACATTCTGGAAAGAATCTCAAAGAAATCTATGCTTGTATCATTTTCTTCTTAAGTGAATCTAATAGCTAACTGAACGATACTGACACTTCAATAACTCTTCTTTATTGATACTATTGTTCCACATGATAAGAATGTAATCTAGGTTTCGAAAAAAAATGTATGTAAGTTAAACTTTTCAGGCTGTGACAATGGTTAACTGAACAATAGAAATGAAATTCAATGTTAAAGCGTTTAGTTTTCTGTTGACAAGGTGGTGGAAGGCTAACTATTGACTCTTCAGTAATACAGAGGTCAGGTTTAAGCCTTATAACTAAATATTCAGCGTATTTTAATAAGACAGAGTTGGGTTCTTTATCGATTATCCTTAGTTTTTTTAGTTTCACTTCTTATTCAAGACCAGCAAGTGACGTACTATAAGATTATGAAGACCGCTTTGCCTTCAATAGCATAATTCCTTGAGAATATCTTCCGAACTGCTAATTGTATCAACTGGGTCGGTTTGACAGTCATCTTCAACCACCACCACAACAAGCAGTTTAGCTGATTTCATAAAATAATATTAATTATCTTACCGCATAGGGGAATCAGGTTAAAACGTTTTTTGTATCATGTCAACTAAACAAACGAAATGTTTTTCGAAGAATGTAAAGCAATTCGCTACACTATAGTACGATTGATTCCAAAAGCTAAATGGGAACAGAATTTGTGATTAATAAATAAGATTTAATATAAAAGGATGAACTCTTGTAGCTGATCATGACCAAGAGTTTTTTCATAAAATTGTAAATTTCACCTATAAATAAACCAGAGCTATGTATATGTATTTTGAAAGTTGTGTTACAAAATTTATATATGTTAATTTATTTTCTGGAACGGGCAGTGGATCAGTATATTCTTCCGATTCAGCAATCATTTAACAAAGTGCGGATGATCAATTAAAAGTAAACTATTCCTTTTTATAAACGCTACACTTTAATTAACTGAAGAATAACCAATATGTCCTATTTACTTAACTCAGAGTACATACTGAAAAATAGAAGTTGCACATCTAGAATGCTCAATGAAATAAATGAATCATGTTGTGAACATGAATGATTTTTTACATTGTTGATATATTTCTGTGTTTATGTAGGCGTTTGCATCAAGGATCCTTTTTAGCAATACTGGACCATTTTTTAGCTGGTTATCGATCACAACACAACCTTATTAAGGATATTCTTAGTCAGCATTTATATTTGAGGCGCATACCTGACCAATTCAATTGTCACAATTGGAAAAATGAATATTTACTAAATCATATTTTGACATACGGAAATATAATATGGCTAGTTCAATTTGAAAACCTTGTGCGAATCTTCGTTAGAGAGATAAATCACACCTAGTATGAGATTCTGAATGATGCTACTCTGCTGATTATACAGAATATGCTCCACCTAATAATCCAGAGCGGTGAGTTACAAACAAACCATACTTTTCACTTTAAAAAAAAACAGTTTAAGAGCAAACGTATTCACTGAAAGCAACAAATGCTCGATGCCTAAAGGAAAGAACATCCAGTTAATGGCACTACCTGGTGATTTCAGGAGCGTTTTGTGTGAATTTTCGAGACCAGACTACTGAAATTCGATACAGTAGTGTACGTAGTATTACCTAAAAGCGAGTATTAACATCGCATTTTGGAAACATATACTACATTCGCAAAGTGATTGTTAGAGCAATCGGATAAAACCGTAGCAAAAAAAGAGTGAATATGGCACCTGAAAACACCTATATTGAAGAAAGCATAGCACTAAGAATCCAGTACCATATTAGAATACAAATGTTACTGGCTTCCTCATGTTTAATACTGCGAATGCATAAAAATACTCTTTTATCCTAAGGTTTTAGAGAATATATATATATTAGAATCATTGCTCACTGGCTATTGGATGATCAGTTTACTCTCCCTTATATAATAACAAGTCAGTGTTTGGAATTATTTATCTGATAATCGTTAGTCAGTCAGTTTTCGTGAAAATCTATAAATTACTTCTAATATTACATTTCAACAGCTTTCTTTACGTGAGACTGAAGATATCACTACGCTACACTAGGACTTTATGATCACTTCCTTAACTAGGTTGTAGAAGATCAAATTACGAAAATATACTAAAGAGTTTAATATTACCTCAGCATTCTTGTCAAACTGCATAGATAATGTCAACAGTATATCTACACTTGGAATAATTATGCAGTTCTCAGAAACACAACATACATCTTCAGGGCAAAGAAAAGGTTCGAACTCTAACTTTGAGAAATCTGGCAGACGGGCATGAAATTCCGTAGAATAAAGTTACTATTTCATTGGGGGTATTGTAACCGCTGGTGCGAGATAATAGAGATAAGTGCAGAAGCAGTCGGTGACGATGAAAGTGGATCACTGCTTTAAAGGTGTGTTGGTTATTAGTAAACTTCTTTCCTTAAAGCCATATCAACCGATACTTTCGTGAGGCAAATGTAATACAACGTGAATCATTAGGATCACATACTTTCAGAGTCTAGTGAGTGGCATTATAAATTTTCTTCGAAGTATTGCTTGTGCTTTAAAGTAGATTATCATCAACAAGGCAAGACTATGGGACAAAGTGAAGTTTGCAAATTTCAGAACCAATAATTCTATTCTAGTATCCAGTAATGCTGCTGACATAATATATCACAGCTCATTAGATACAGTTTCATTCTTTCTCTAAACACATCATGACAAAATTAACATCAAGATTGTACATACTTTTCCCTTTTTAGCAGAGTAAAGCCTGAAGCAATGGATAACCTGAAGTGTAACTAAGATGCATCACTGACACCAGACAGGATAGTATAATATTATGAATGCATCGATATTACTTCAGACATGGTCTAGATAATTACAAGAATTAGACCAAGCATTACATTCAATGATGGTTTCAAGAAAAGAAATGTTACTAAAGATTTATGAGTTGAGTGATTAACAAACAGGATAACTTGAATTTTTAGCAACCCCATCACGTTTTAAATAGTTAAGTCGGTTTTATGAAACCTCCCAGTCGATCTACGCTGATCAAACAAATAATAATTTATTATATACAAGTAAAAACATAAAACAATTCCAGTTATACTGTGTATAAAAATTACATTTGAAATAATCTAAGTGATTGAAATTTAAACAATCCAAGTGTTCCGCCTATCTGAGCTAATTCCTGGTAATATTCAATATAAAAATTCTCAATAAAAAGTTCTACAAACCATTCTTTCCGAAAGTTTTTGAAAAAACTGAATCAGAGTATTTAGCGAGACAATAGAAAAATCTGTAGTCAACCCAAAACATCGGTGAGACTATGATTTATGGACGACCTTTGAGCCACGCTAAAGTGACCTTGAGAATGTTCATCTTCTAACTAGGACTAAATGAGGGTTATAAACCAGTGTGAGGAACTAGTATTACGACTTACAGTTGATGGTCAGGAATTAAATTTAGGGTTTTCATCATGAACCGACATCAACCATAATGCCAAAACGCTATTTAACCAAATGCATGAGTGAATTTCGAGTCAAAACCGAAGACTCGTTACCTTATGTCTGGTTGGTTCGTTCATAAATTCGTCTTGCCGAAACATAGCAATAAACTAACAGAATTCTCAATAGCCATAATACAACGAAATTCAACAATCTCCACAACCCAATAGTGAAAATTATCATGTATTCACTAGTGACTAGCGTAAAGAGGAAATCTCCGAATTAATAGTGAGAAGCCGTGACCAGTGGAGCCAAACAGTGTCAGATGTGAAGCAGTTACCCACCGAAGACAAGGGAAGATGGTCGCGCAGCATGCTGGATTGATTAAGGTTAGATATTAACACCATTGTATATCAGCTCAATTGTCTACAGGTAAACCGTTTGCGCGCGAGATCAGACTTTCTTTGTTCGATTCCTACGTGCGGGATCATGAATGCACACTGCTGAGGTGTTCCATGGTTCCGGGTATTCAATTGTGGTCTAACTAAGATCGGTTCATTATTTCAATGAAATTCAACAATCTCTACAACCCTATACTCGTAATAAAAGTTTGTTTCCGGACTAGTGATACTATAATATCGGTATTTATCCAAGTTAAGGATAAGTCATCAACGTAAGAACAACAAGATCTTGTCCATGAGATCAATTGTCATGAATGCGATGTAGCATATGTGGGAGAAACATATAGGTAACTGGATATACAGTTTAAAATACACGAAAAATATTCGAAAAATGTTTTCCGATGTTCAGTTGACCTCAATAAGCCTGAGAATAGATCAGCAATAGCGCTTCATTCATTGGTAACAGGACACAATATCAACGTTAAAGTAGTCGAAATACTACAGGAAGGGTTCGACATACAGAAAGAAAAAATAACTGCAGAATCACTGTAAATGTAGACTAATCAAAACAGCCTAAACATATAAGATGTAATTCAATGAGTTACCTATTATCAAATGCTAATTAACGAATAATCGAACTTTATTATTATTGACTCAAGTTATATTATTAGTAATTTGTTTTAAACAAAGAAAATATTTTTTCAATGTTAAACATCACAACTACTCAATTAAATTTTCTTATTCTATATAAACTTGGATGATTTAAATTTTCCATTTGTACTGTTAATTCATAATACACAAAAACAATTAACATGACTATGATGGTAGGCAGAGATTTTATTTATTCACAACATAAAGGTATATACGCACGTACACCCATTCTGTTTCACATTTTTCATATCTTATGAGATGATTGGATAACCTTTTCATCATGAAAACTTTATTCCTTGATAATTTCGATTCCTTTCATTACTTAGTCATTAGTTCAAACAAGCTTTCTGGACGATTAGTTGGAATAATTTAAATTTTAATGGCTATGATAAATTAAAATATAATTTACATAAATAATGCCTTGTTTATGCTTGGCACTCAAATTATATTAAACTAATCGTTCAAATATTGACCAATATTTGTATGAATTATCTGCTCCTAGATTCGATTTCTAGATTGTTTTAATCTGAGTTTTGTGTTATTAATGATTGTTACCTATGGTTTTCCTTATTAGACGTAAATACATTTCGTGCGCTCAATGGATCGTCAGCACACCTTTTCTTCTATTTTTCCCTGTACCAACTCTCCACAGTTACGTTACTCTACATGATCCATTACGACATAAAGTGCATTCTGTCTAGACATGGACCATAACACTAGGCGTTCAAATATTGACAAATATTCATCTAGATATATGTGACAGTTATATTAATCAAAAGTTTCGTATGATAATAATGAATACACTTACTCAAAAAAAATTAGGTAACGTAGTTAATTTTAAAAAATAATGTTGAAAAACAAAACTACACATTTTTTGAAGTAAAATAACATTATAAAAGACAAAATGTTATATACATTCGTCTATGAGGCTTTCATTGGTAGTTTTGCATTTCATCGAGAGAACAACTGACTCCCTCCAAGGTATAGCAAACCTATGAATAGAAAAACACCACATTAATTTTTTTTCATTTTAGACTGAAGTACAATAAGTTGAATGAATATACAATGATTCGATAAATCGCTTTCCTATTAATTAATGGACTATAGTATCTACTGAAAGTAGTACATACTTAACTATACTTCTATGCGGAGTGAATTTGAATATTTGATGTAATATGAACTACCTCTGGTCAACAGAAGTGCTTTGTCGATGAGTATTAACAAGCACAAGACACTGATTCAGAAGGGAAACATCTAATATGTTTGCTTTAAGATAACACACTATAAATGTCAACCCATTCTTTTTCTTATCTGTTATCCTACATTCACTAGCATAAGTCTTAAATATTTTACTACTCATTTATTCATAACATTCAAAATCTTCTGGTACTATAAAATGATAATATGAATGTGCTACACAAAAGTAGAATGAATAATATTGTGAAGGAAATAGACGAGGGAAGATCCAGACAATAAACGAATAATATCTATTAAGAGATAAACGTTAGAGGTATAAAACCAAAAGAAATCTTATCCAATTCTACAAGTTCATTTGACTTTTCTCAAGATTGCATCAGAAAAATACAGCAGGATCACTATTGGCTTCTATTTCGAGTCATGTATAATGACGTTAATGAGCTACTAAATTATAAGATATTTAGAATCTAATTGTTTTAGATGTAGTAGAATAACAGCTGTCAGTCCTATATATTTTACTTTCCATATTATAATTAATCTTAAATGTATCAGCTTACTCGATAGATTTTATTCATAAAATCAAATGATTGAACTGATGAGCATCAAAATCAATAAAAAACACACAGAGTATATGTAGCCTTTCGATCGTCAATGTGAACGTCAACTATCAGTCGACGAAAAACATAACAAATAAATATTAAATGTACAGTTAAAGTAATTAATTAAATTCAAAAGTATGAATATACTTCTTGTTACATAAGATATGATTTTCTTAAAAACATGATGCAATTTATTTTATAATTTAATATTTTATTCATTTAATTTATATAGTCAAGAAGTAAACAGCTGTTAAGTAATTTTATCTACACTACTTAATAAAAAGTAAACAAATTTAGATTACATTGTAGGAAAATTTTCAAATGTAAAAAATCAGTCGGTCGGCTACAACATAGGACCAGGCATATATAAGCATCGGTCCAAGATGCCATACCTCATTAGCACAACAAGATGAACACCGAATTCATAGGAGTTAATGGTGGTAATATATGAAAGAAAGATTGCATATAAGAATATAGTCAAAAGGATATGTCAAAAATAGTACAGAATAATTGCATAACAGAAGAATCGATATATGTGGGCAGACGTTTTCACCTACACCTAAACGGCTCCGTAAGAACTAGAAAGGATAGGGACACACGTAGTTGCCTCTTCATCGTTTCTGCAGCTCGGATGAAGTGAAAGATGAATTTTAAAGAAAACTCTCTGAACTTCTTCAGAAAGCTAAACGTTCAGACATAGTACTCATAGCAGGCGACTTTAATGCCCAGGTAGGAAGATTGAACCAAACAGAAAGATATTTATTTGGGTATTTTACTATTTCGGCTCAGCGAACAGATAATGGTGATCGTCTGCTGCAACTGTGTTCAGACAATCGTTTATTTTTAGCAAAAAAAATTTTAAGCATAAGGAGAGACATCGTCTAACATGGCGACCCTCTGCACCAAACCAACGATGGACTCAAATGGACCATATTGCCATCAGTCATCGTTGGAGAGGGTCGATAGAAGATTGTCTCTCATTCTGGAGTACCTGCTTGGACTCCGACCATGTCCTAATACTGGACGCAGAAAAGCCATACTAAGAAGACTCATTAGGATTGAACTGAGTGACGAGAAAACCAAAAGTAGGTCCCAGGAACAATTGAGGTCACACTTAGGTAGTTCTGAAAACGAGGCTAACCCAGGTGTTGCTTGGAAAGATATACAATCAGCTGTGAAAACAGCAGTCACATCTGTTAGTGATTTAAACCAATGGGTCACAAAAAACCAATGGATTCCTTCTAAGTCTATTGCAATGATAGATTCTCGTAAACTCATCCCATCAGGCTCTGAACACGATGAGGAGCGCAAAACAATTTTAGCGATTAAGTTGACCAATATTTTCGCTAAGATTTAAGCTTCAGACATGGTCGTGGCTGCATAGAACACATGTTCACCATTCCTCAGGTTCTAGAACACAGGCATACTTATCGGCGCCCGAAAATGGTGGTATTCCTTGACTTAAAAGTAGCATTTGACTCTATTGACCGAGAGGTTCTGTGGCAGTGTCTGTCATTGAAAGGCGTACCTCGGAAGCACATAAACCTTATGAAGGCTCTTTACTCGAACACTACTAGTCCAGTCAGAGATTATGGCGAACTATCATCTGCTTTTGCAACCTCAGGTGGGGTCCGTCAAGGCTGTCAAACATCTCCATTTTTGTTTAACTTTATCATAGATCTACTGACGGAAATAACGCTCTCATCGACTGAATTCTCGGGCAGTGATCTCCTACCAGGAGGTTCACTTATCGACTTAGAATACGTAGATGATATAGTCAAGTTTGGTGAAGACGCTGATGGAATGCAGAGTCTTTTGGTAGCACTGAGCAACAATGACAGAATGTTTGAGATGCGCATCTCTCCCTCTAAATGCAAATTGTTACTCCAGGATTGGTCTGCATCAACACCTGAACTAAGGATAGAGAGTGAAGTAGTCGAACGCGTTGACGAAATCTCAGCATGGATTCGAAAAGCTCGTTTGGCCTTTGCCAACTTACGTCACCTACGGCGAAGGCGAGACATTTGTCTATCAATTAAGGGACGAGTTTACTGTGCGGCAGTCCGCTCCGTTCTACTATACGGCTGCGAAACATGGCCATTAAGAGTACAAGATACTCGTAAGTTACTAGTATTTGAACACAGATGTCTTAGAAATATTGCTGGGATCATCGGGTAAGTAATAGTGCAGTTAGACGCAGGGTATTAGGGAACGATGATAAGTCAGTTGTTGAGGTTATGAATCTTCATCGACTGAGATGGTTCTGCCACGTGTTAAATGTACTAGAACACCGATTACTACGACGCACAATACCGACTAGTGTTGGGGATGGTTGAAAGAAATTTAAGGGCGGCCAAACCAAAACGTGGCATCAGTGCTTGAAGACACTAACTTCTGGGCTGAGCCATGTTGGAAGATTCAGACTGCCTGGTTGGCGTCCGCGTGACTATCGTAACCAATGGTTGGAGACTCTTGGTGACATGGCTCAGAATCGATCACAATGGCGTCGGTGTATTCACTCTCTGTCTTCCTTTAAACTAAGAGATTAAAATCACTTCATATATTTCTTTCTACGAACTAAGTTTTTCTTCCTGTACTATCTTCTTATATGCAATCTTTCTTCAATATATTACCACCACTGAATTAACTACTACTATGAATCCGGTGTTCATGTTGTTGTGCCAATGCGGTATGGCAACTTGGACCGATGCATATATGTGCCTGGTCCTACGTTGCAGCTGACTGACTGACTGGTTACATCTATTTATAGGCATTGGTGCCAAGGTCGGGTTTCATAATTTCAAATTAATTGACCATTAAGTTAAGAATAAATATATATTTCTTGTTATATCCCATATTATTTTAAATAAATTTTGTGGTTTAACATTGTAAAATATTGAATACACAATATTTCAGGTCTATGTGTACAGCAAGTAAAAAGTTTTAATGAAAGATACAAAAAACGAGACAGTGCTTCAGTGAAGAGACATATTTTTTTGAAGACTTCATCCTTGAAGCTGTATAGTCGCAACTGAAAGAAACTTTTTAAAAATTTTTATCAATTAAAATTGTCTCATTCTTAATATTTGAAGAAATCCCTCCAATACATTTTTATAAGCTAACCATTATTTCAATAGTTGAAATCATGAGTCGATTGAAGCTAGACCACCACGGAAAATGTGGAAGCGCTCGCAAACGAGACTGATAGATCCTGGGTTCGAATCTCGCGAAGGCAGGATCGTGGATGCGCACTACTGAGGAGTCCCATACGAGCACGAAACGGCGCCCAGTGCTCCCATGTTTTCCACGGTGGTCTAGCTTCAATTGACTCATGATTTTAACTACTGAAATTACTAAAATCTCCACAAAACCCCTTCTGATAATAATTATTATTTGTTGACTATTACATTTTACCATAGTAGTCCGATTATTTTAAGTCTCGTATATTTCGTCTCATATTATGTCAATCGCCGTTTATTTCAGTTTAAAGGTCAAATTTCCGTAGATTTGTGGTGTTAAATAATATGTTATAAATTTTATTTTGCATATCGCATGAAATTCTCTTGGTGATATATTGGTTAACTGATGTGTTTCGCTATTTAAATCCAGACAAAGTGATTGGTCAGATTATCAGTACATAGAATATTATCTTTTTTAGCTGCAAACCGTCTTATTTAAATCAAGTAGTTTTAATTATCGATTTCGTTGTATCATGCATATCGATTTTTAACCATATGAGGAACGTCGACTGATTACATAGTGTTAATAAATTATTATCGAAGTATTATCTGTATTTCTCATGTATCATATTTAAATAGTTTCACTAATATTATCAAATCAACTGTGTTTTGTTATACTCAGGATATGCTCTCAACTACGGATTGAACAACTAACCAGTAGAGACTTGATAAAACCAGCATAGACAATGGATAAAACTTGAAAAAAGAATAACTATCCATTAACCAATATTAATTATGCTCAGATCAATTTTTTCTGGGATTTTAGTTTTTACAGTAACAAACGAATAGAAATGTAAAAGGTTTTAATCTTATTAAAAACCTGAAAAATGGAATTGTTACTGAACTTCACCAAAAAGATGACATACAAACTAGCCAAAGGTTAATAATTATGAAATGTACTGAATAACATTTATAATTTAGAAAATCTAATCAGACACAGTATGGAAATGTGAACAA